ATCTTCTCCCCCTCTCCCCCCATTCCTAGGACGAAGAATCTGGAGCAACTGACCAAGAGACAGGGATGATTAGTATCTCGTCACTGTAGTCTTGACAATGCTTAGCCTCACCCACAGTGTCCCAGCCATACTGTTCCTGCTGGAAGAATGTTATGTGTTTCTTGGGGGCCCCTGGCACCCTTATCATATTGGAAGATTGAAGAAGATTCATATCATCTTCCAAGCCTGGCCCTCTAACCTCCTCTTGACTTGGGGAGCTCCCCCTGCCACACCAACATCCTTTCAATAAATTTTCTTTTGTTTTTATTGTTTGATTAGGTTAGCTGTAGTTTATTGGTTTCTTCTACTTACAATCAAGAACCCTGATAAAACAGAGAAGAAAGGGGAGAGTTATGGAGAAAAAAAATTCTGGAAAGCCCACCAAACTTCAGCCAAGCAGGAACTAAATACCTATTTTGTTTAATAAAATTCAAAACCACTGACATGAAACCCTAGGGTAGCTTTACTTAGGGTTAAGGAAAAGAAAAGTATGTTCAGCAATTTTTATACAATAAATAGAGCCTGCTAGTTTGCTCCAGATGTCTGGACTGCAATGTCATCTTCAAAGACACTTCCCACAGGGCTAGCTTGGGTGGGTGGGCATTGAGTTTTGTTTTTCCTTTTTCTTGTCAATAGAGACAAGGTTGGGTTTATAGAGAGCGGACAGAGTGGTAGTGGCTGTTTGCCATTGTTAGGTAGTGGGAAAGATGGCTCAGGGACCCTGGATTTGGACCTTCCCCAAAGCAGTCAAGACCAAATTCTCTGTCTGAGCATATCAAGGCCTTCACGACCTGTCCCAGCCCGCTGTTCTTCCACTGCTACCTGTCCCTTCCCCTCTATATAACCACATCTTCTTCACTCTCATCCACTGGTTTTCAAATTGTGACCTGATTGAAAGGCTCTAAGGTTTGATGGAAATTAAACTCAAGCCAGGAAAGTAAAAAACACTGCTCTGGGCCACAGTGACATCTTTCTCTCCTGATCTTGTCTTTTTTTTTTTTCTTTATTTTTTGGCTGTGTTGGGTCTTAGTTTTGGCATGCGGGATCTTTGTTGCAGGTGGGCTTCTCTTTAGTTGTGCCATGAAGGTTTTCTCTCTCTAGTTGTGACACGTGGGCTCCAGGGCACGTGGGCTCTGTAGTCTGCGGCACACGGGCTCTCTCGCTGAGGCGCACAAGCGCAGTAGTTGTGGTGCATGGGCTTAGTTGTCCCGCGGCATATGGGATCTTAGTTCCCAGACCAGGGATTGCACCCGTGTCCCCTGCATTGGACCACCAAGGAAGTCCCCTCTGATCTTGTCTTGTTTTGTTTGTCATGGATCACATTCAGCTTTTTATTTAACATTTCATACGTTATATCATTTTTTTTCTTTGCGGTACACAGGCCTCTCACTGCTGCGGCCTCTCCCATTGCAGAGCACAGGCTCTGGATGCACAGGCTCAGCGGCCATGGCTCATGGGCCCAGCCGCTCCGCGGCATGTGGGATCTTCCTGGACCGGGGCACGAACCTGTGTCCCCTGCATTGGCAGGCGGACTCTCAACCACTGCGCCACCAGGGAAGCCCCATAGGTTATATCTTTTTCTTAAATTGAGGTAATGTTGGTTTATAACATTGTATACGTTTCATCTGTACAACATTATATTTCTACTTCTGTATACACTATATCATTCTTTCCACCAAAAGTTTAGTTTCCATCCATCACCATACAGTTGACCTTCTTTACCCATTTTGCCCTCCCCCACCCCCCTTCCCCACTGGTTACCATTACACTGGTCTATGTATCTATGTGCTTGCTTTTGTTTAGTTTGGCTTGCTCATTTATTATTATTATATTTTAATATATCCCACATATGAGTAAAATCATATGGTATTTGTCTTTCTCCATCTGACTTATTTCACTTAGCGTAATACCCTCAAGGTCCATCCATGTTGTCCCAAATGGCAAAATTTCATGTTTTTATGGCTGAGTAGTATTCCATTATATATATACATATACACACACCACCTCTCTTTATCCATCTGTTGATGGGCATTTAGGTTGCTTCCTTATTTGGCTACTGTAAATAATGCCGCAATGAACATAGGAATGCATACATCTTTTTGAATTAGTGTTTTTGTTTTCTTCAGGTAAATAACCAGAAGGGAATTGCTGGATTTTATGGTAGTTATATTTTTAATTTTTTGAGGAATCTCCATACTGTTTTCCAACTTAAATTCCCACCAACAGTATATGAGGGTTCTCACAGGTTATATACTGTCTTGGTTTCCCAGTGAAATTGGACGATTTTGGAAAGCACAGTGCCAAGCTTATTTCTAGCACTTGATAAACATCCATTGAATGAATGAATGAATGAAAATAGTTAACATGTATTGATTACTATGTGCCAGATACCATGTTAAACAATTTGCGTGCCTTGTCTCATTCAATCCTCACAACAAACCTATGAAGTGGGTTTTGTTAA